GGACCCCCCCCCCCCCCCGACAGGAAGTCGGATTATACATATACACTGGCTCCGGAAAGTCTACGCTAAATTCCCGATTTTCGACAAATTGCAATATTGTTCGTCGATGCGACCCACTCGCATTGCAATTCTGGCATTAGGCGCGACAGAACTGCGCCTTGATAGGCCAAAAACGATGCAATTTCCTAAACGTGTTTGCTATCAATTTCTAGAATATCGTAGTTACGATATTCAAAGCTGTCCTAATTTCGTGAAAACGGAGTCGCGCCACGACGAACCTCATTTCGTAGCTTCTCCAACAGTTTGTTGCAACGCGTCGGACGACGGGTTACGTCGACGTCCGACCAGGTTCTCTCTCGTTGGGAAAACAACGGCAGAAATTTTCGCTCTGTTTCTGTGCGCGAAACCCGTCCACGGTTTCCGTCGCGGACGAGTTTCCGGCACGGTGTCGGCCGCGTCTCAATTTCGTTGGCCGGAAACTCGTCCGCGGCCCTCCTTAATTCGTGTACGGCCGCCTTTAATTCCGAACCGCGCCGCAAACGGTCCAACTTTTAATTAGACGCGTAATGGATCCCTCGACCACCGATTTCGGACCTAAACCCGACCGGTGTTTGCGATACAATTTCGGCCTCTCGGATTGCGCCGAATTCGTCCTGCACGCGATCGGCGACTCTCTTTTCCGAGCCGTTTCGCAGATTTATTCTCCCGCGAGATATACCGGATCGAGAATGCCGGGCTCTTGGAAAACACCGGGTCGACGAACCGTCGCGACGGCTCGATGCCGTCGACGGCGTAAATCCGATGATAAACGACCCCACGGCTCGCGAGCGCAGCCCTAACGTCAAAGTTTCGCCGGTCCGGCGAGGGATCGTCAAAGTCCCTCGCCTTTACCAAGTATTCGGGACAACCCTTTGGCCCGCTGGTTCCCTTCGAATTCGCGACCCGAGATCGAATGAAATTACTGCCGGGCCACCGTTAACGCGGGATCCCGTAAAGCACGCGCGATTCCTCCGAGCGAGAGAAATCTTCCCAACGCGCAGGCCAGCGAACTCGAAGGGGACAAGTTTCGTTTCTTCGGGCTCGTTAATCGGCCAAATGGCTCTCAGACTCTCGGAATCGAATTCAAAAGACCGAGATTAGCGCGTCTGATCTAATTGCGCGTCGACTTTCCAGCTGAATTATTTCGTTCGATGGGATACAGTCGTTTTAGAAATGTTCCCGGCTAAAAAGCGACTCGCGGAAGACTGCTGACGCGGATCAGGATTCAAAGCGAAGCGACAAAGATGCGACAATTTGTGCCGGAAACGGAACGAAACGGTGATCGGTGTTTGTTGGAAAGGTATCCTGAACCGGGGCCGATCTAGGAAAGCGTTCTAAACACCTGACTTTTCATGGAACTCTGAATTTAACCAGAAGTTAAACCGAAGCGACAAACTGACGTTTCGAGGGTCCAAAGACGAACGAAAAAAAATCAGTGCTTTCCCTGGAGCCGACTTATTCAGGAATTCTGGACTGGAAGCTAAGCTGAAGCGACGGAGTGTTGCAGGGAGCATCGCTTAAAAAAAGAGTACGCTTAAAAAGAAAAGAAAAAAGAGGTAAAACTAGTGCAGCAAATAAATTTGACTTGGCAGCAGGAATTCGAAGAGGAATGATAAAAGGGTGGGTTCAAAGGAGAGCCTGTTCGTCTGTAAAAGGTCTGGGGGACAGGTTACGGAATCCCATTAGAAGGATTAGGAGGTAGAAGGAAGAGAGGGTTCTGATCGGAGGAGGCTCCTACTAGGTGGAACAAGCTGATCGATTAAAGAATTAACGAGCTCGGCGCATTAATTCAGTGGCGTAGCAGGTTCGAGAGCGCAGGGCCGAGCCGGGCCGGGCCCATTAGCCTCGTAAATTATCCGTCTATCTTAGCGTGGATTATACACGGTGACCTCGGCCTCGGTTCACGCGGCATCCAAGCGGCAATAGGATATCGATTCGAGCGTATATTACGCGACTGACAATTACAGCGCGCGGCGCACAATGGGTCCGAAATGGTCGGCAGAGACTTCTCTCGCTCGTGTATTAGACCCCCGCGAAATAGAGATACACCGGGGATGGATTCCCAGGTGCCATGCCGGAGAGCGTTTCACGGATCGGATCGAATGATCGACGAGGCTAATACCGAAGATGCTGGATAATGCAAGCGACGCCGCGCCGCGCCGCGTTGCGACGCGTTCCTCGGCTTCTACGATCCCGCATCGATCATGCCGAACGTTATCACGGCAATGTACACGACTTCCGAGTTGTTCGAGGAGCAGGTTATACGTTCTTCCTAATTTATTCGGGAGGAGATACAGTGACGTCTCCCTAATTGACGCTCGGATTACAGTAATGTCTCTCTAATTGACGGCCAGATTGACCACAAAAATGGACAATTTGGGCAGAGGAGATACGATTATTTGAGTCTTGCCTGTCTCTTATACACATCTAGATGTGTATAAGAGACAGGCAAGACTCAAATAATCGTATCTCCTCTGCCCAAATTGTCCATTTCTGTGGACAATCTGAGCGTCAATTAGAGAGACATTACTGTAATCCGAGCGTC